CAGATTATTTTCCCAGCTGGTGAAGTGCCATCCACGCACGAGTCCCTGCGAAGCTGCGAGTGCCGCCCAGAAACGTGCCGGTGACAGGACGTGGCATCAGCCAACACGTGCCACGCACGGCTCCGGGGTGACACTCGGCTGCAAGGTGACAGGAAGATGTTCCCCAGCCCCGCGCTCCCACACAGCGTATCGCTGCACCCTTATCACACCTGAATCAAACCCAGCCTCTGCCAAGGCTGTGGCAGGACTTAAATCACTTAATTCACCCCAAGGAGTTGGTGGCCTGAGCTCCGTGCGCATGAGGAGTCGGAGCAGCGTGAAGTTATCGGCAAGTGCCGGTTCCCACCCCGGCCGGCCCCAGCCAGAAGGTTGCAGGTCCTGGGAGGCGATTGCCCTTCGCTGCGCTCCACTGACGGGTGACAGGCAGCTGCCAACTCCGAGCTGAATCAAGCCCCCTTCAAAAAAAACCCTAAAAAGCAAATATTTCTGGTGGGGGTTAAGAACTTTTTGAGGCAATTAACAATTGTGCCAAGGCTGGAGAGCATCCCCAGCCTGCGCTTTTGCTACCCTGCCAAGGTAAACGCTGACATGTTCCTCCCCGAAGCAGCAGCTCTGAGAGCAGGAACAATCCCCGGCAGTAACAAGACTCCTCGCAGGCACACAAGACAGATGCTCGCTGTTTGCCTTTAAAGGCAAAATTTGGCGAATGCCCGGGAAGGGCTGGTCCCACCTCGGGTGGATCCTGGGGCGGCAGCAGGATCGGCCCCGCGCAGAAGAGCCGCATCCCGGGATTTAGCTCCTCGGCTTTCACGCTGGGGATTTGCTCTTCGGCGCAGCGCGGGTCTGTGGGAACGAAGCGCCCACGTCGCTGCGGGAGCACCAAGCCCCTCTCCGAACAAGTACGTTTCCGTGTGCCGTGCAGGGAGGGCTCAGCACGGCGCAGGCGTCGCTTGCACACGCACGACCCGCTCCGCTGCCAACGTCCGCCCCGTGCCGGGGAACCGCGCTGCTCCTTAAACCCAGCCTGGGGTCTCTGTGGAGGCTAGGCAGAGAATTACAGATTTCAGTTCTACTCCTGCCTGTGGGAATTAAGTCTCTTTCTATTTCCCTCCCTTCTTGTCTTCGGGGCGACAGAAAACAGGACCCAAATAAAAGGGGAGCGCAGCCAGGACCGATGGGAAGAGATAAGACGGGGCAGGGGACCGCAGGAGCCAGGCAGCGGCTGCTGCTCCGATGATACGAGCCCGTCGCCTCCTTTTCTTTCCGTCCCCGCGGGGCCTGTTCCCCACGGCCAGGCTGATCCTTCCCCAACCTCCAAAAATGCTGCAAAGCTCATTTGTAAAAGGAAAACAAAAAAGTTTATTTTTTTTCTCACAAGAAGCACATAAAATATACAGTACATTTTTACAAACAAAAGTAAAAAAAAGTGCGTTATGCATCCCCTACCCCAAACGTACAGTACAAAAGATACTGCATATTTAAATATAAAACCAGAATTAAGAAATACCATGAAATAAAAGGAATATTGTTATCACAGAGTACAGCAATGCACGGGAACAGCTACACGTTACTCACCCACCCCTCCTCTCTGCGCCTGCGGTCACGGTCTGAGCGGGACGGTCTGCGCCCACCGGGTCGGGGGCTGGTTCCCCGGCAGAGAGCGGGCGATGGCGGGACAGGACAGAGCCAGACACCACCTTCACGGACAGGACACCACGGCTATTGCTATCACACAGACCCACAAAGCCTGGACTGGAAATAAGGTGCCAGTTTTGTGCATTTCGGGTTTTCTGGCAGGACGGGACTAGGTTTGGATTCACACCCGGCAATCCGCTGAGCGAAGCGCGGCTGGGCATCGACGGGACGGCTCCCGGACATCCCCCCATCCGCGTTTCTGCAGCAATGCATAGATAAATGGGGGCACCGGGAGCTGCAGCCGACACGGCGGGGGGAAGCCCTTTGGTTTTGCCGTGTACAGAGCAGAAGGGAAGTGGTTAGCAGCGCTGCGCTCAGCGGGACGGGAGGTCGATATGCAGAAGTAGTAACGGTCTCGCTGCCACCGGAAACACCAAAAGCACCAAAAAAAAAAAACCCACCACCAAACCCAACAGCAGAGTTTAACAGCTCAGCATAAATACACAGTATTTGTAAACTATTATTAAGGCACTCAATTGTAAAAGAACAATTACAATACGTGGGAGAGGACAAACACATCTACCTTCTCATGCAACAAATCTAATGAAGTCTGCAAGCATCATAGGTTTGGCTACAAAAACCTTGGAAATGGCACACTAGTGCTTCTAGCGCACGTTGGCTTCGAGACCGACTCCCACCAAACCACGTCTCTATCCCGACAGCATCGTGACGATGCAGCGACGGAGCCCCGAGCCCGATGAGCAAAGCGGTGGGGCTGGTCCAGCGAGAGCCGAGTCCGAACGACAGGCAGGGTGGAAGGTGGTTGGCGCCGAGCTACGGCCCGGGAAAGCAGAGGTTCGTACGCAGCAGAACTCGGCAGGCACTCAAAACAGGAAGGAAATATATACGTCTCCTTGCATCAGTTAACGGAATTTTTCTGAATTTATTCAAATCTGACCCCCTCGCTTCTTCCCTTGGCCAGGCAGCAATGGGAAGCGTCTGCAGCGCTGAATATAGGAAATTTATTGCAGTAGATCTGGACTTGCATGTGCACCCACGGTATGCTGACGGGGCAGAGGGGATTTCAGGCCTCCTCTAGGCACGACCTCGCGTTTTCTCAGCCCTAAGCCACAGAGACTTGTGCACATTTTCCAGGGTCCCCTCACGCAGCAGCTTTTGCTTCAGAACAGCTTTTGTGGGTGAAACGGGAAGCGTGCCTTAAGCTAAAAGTGTACATCACATTTAAGACTCTTTAAGGAGGGACATTTATTTACTGATTGCCAGTCCCTACAATTCCTCACACTTAATATAAAAACGTGGAGTCATATGCTCAAGGAAAAACATGTAAAGTCTGGGCTTTTCGGACAGTAAAACACACGGCTCCCTTTCTCAAGGCAGTGGCTTTGCGGTTAATAACAGACTCGGAACGATTGCTCGCAGCCCTGCTCTCACCCCCACCTCAGGGAGGGGATTTTTAAGAACGGCTTTCGATGGAGATGATAAAATGCAGGAGAGCTCGCACTCGCAGCCTGGTTGCTAAACAAGCAAATCCATCCGTTTGCCATCGCTGACCCCCAAGGTCTGTTTTGACCCCCGAGCCTGCTTCACGATACGCCCCGACCGAAGGCACAAGCAGCCAGCACGGTTTCAGATCGGACTCGGAGAGCACCAAGGTTTGGAGAACATCCCCTACACACTGCTCAAACTCTTCCCTCCTGACGTGGCCAGCACACCTCGCAGTTCTCGGCCTGGCTGGCTGCCCAAAATATTCGAAGAAAACGTGTATTTCATACAGCACCAGTGGACTCTGCGTTTCAAGCAGCTCGCTCAGCAGGGCAGCAAGAGGAGCAGCATGCGGTAAGGCTGGTCTGAGCCCGGTCCCCGGGAGCCAACCTCCGGCGTGGGAAGGGACGCACTTCCTCGGCTGCGATTGCTGCTGAGCACGCAGCACCACGGGCGCCTCGCCCCGGTGTCCTCCCTGCAGGTCACGCCAGCTTTCCTCCAAAGGATCTCACCCACGCCGCCAACAGCCCTCTCTCCTTGGAGCGAGCCCGTATTTCTGTTTGAGCGCTCGCCCCAGGAGCGGGATTTACGCCTCTGTCAGCCCTGGCAGGAGGCTGCTGCAGCCCTGCAAGAGCTGGGACACGTACACCCCAGCTCCCCGCTCCGGGGCCGCCCGGCCTCCTGTCACCCAGCACAAATAACCCCTTGGGCTTCGACACCGGCTTCCCAGGCTGCCGGCAAACCAAGGACGTAGGAACCGTTCTACCAAACCCAACAGCGATAATCAGAGAAGACCCACGCTCGCCTACTGCCTACGGGGATTTCGCACGCGTGGGGCACCAGGAGAGCCGTCCCTCTTGGGCCATCTCGCCAGCACGGTGTGCCGCCGACAGCCCGATGAAGAAGGGTCCCCAACACAGGATCCACGACACCGACACAGCGTTACACAAAGCTTCACTAGGGTCCACGGTCACTTACTGGCCAGGCTCGTCATGAGTACTGGGACATTACAAACCACGACGACAGCAAAAACACCCAAAGAACAAGACTCCTCCGCAGGGGAGCGTAAGCCTGCGACAGCGGCACGGCCTGGGTGTCACACGAGACTATGACAATTCACCCGGTCACACAGCGAAGACGGACGAAGCCGGCGGGTCACACAGTCAACACGAACACAGCTTGACACTCCTTCACTTCACAGCTAGGTCACTCGGTGCGGGAAAGCCCCTGGCTCCATACTCCTCCAGGCTTTTACAGTTAAGGGAATACCTTCAAACAACGGTAAATATTGTGGGGAAAGCCTTTTTTTTTAAAAAAACAAACCCAACCAGCAAACAACAAACCAAGACGAAACATCAGCAAGAACAGAGGTAGTGTTCATGTCACCATTTTAAGGATTTTTCCACAAGTGCCCTGTTTTAACTAGAGACATGTGCTTGTTCTGTAAAAAAAAAAAAAGTCATGACTAATTATTTTGTTGAGTCTTTGAAACAGATTATTTCAGCATTTTATATATATAGATAGATAAACAGATACAAATATCTATCTATATATACACACACACACAGAAACACATTATTATACTTGGCAAACAGTACTAGGAATAGCATCCTGCAGGACAATAGGCAAGTCACACACAAAGTCCTCTTCTAAGCCATGCAATACATTTTATTTTCCCTCGTGCCATTCATCATGACCCATTATGGGTTTTTTATTTTTTCTCCCCACTTAGAGTACAAGGAGGGGAAGAGGAGGTGGCATCAGATGAACTACAGCAAGTCAGATGATAAAACTGCATCGGTGCAACGAATAAGTGCCGTAAAAAACCAGGAATCCACCCCCCGCTCCTCCCACAGAAGGCATCAACTTTTGCCCATCCAAAGCGTGCTCTTCAAGTTTCCGACCGCTGGCTTCGCTGCCAGTTTGGAGGTGACGTCTGCACTCCTCAGCGTGGATTGTGGCTCACAGAGCACGGAAGACTCGCTCGAAACGGCCTCTTTGGAGTCCGTTATGGTTGACACATCCATGTCACTCGATAAGTCCTCAGAGGACAAGTTAAGACATCCTAGCTTGGCGAGAGAATTGGACCTTTTCAGAGGAGAAGACACAGTCAAGCCAGCCAGGCGCAGCCTGGTCTCAATTTCCTGAGTTCGCTGCTTCACCAGGCCGGGCTTGCCCCGCACGCTGTGGATGCTGTCGCTGCTGGAGCTACGCGTCAGGTTGGAGCTCCGGGAGGAGGACGGGGTGTAGCAGATGGTCTTCAGGAAGTCCTTGGTGAAACTGCTCGTGTGCTCCAGCCGACACATGACAGGCGTGGAGGTTTTCTGAGAGATCCCCTCCAAGACACGTTTCACCTCTAACTTCTCCACGTCGTTCTCTGCATCTTCGGGTATCAGCGGTGCGGGTCGCAGAAGAGGTACGAGGCCGTGATGTGAAATCAAATCCTCGCTTTCCTCCACAATGCCGGAGTCGGCTCTGCTCAGGGGGCTCTCTCTGAGCAGCGACGAGGCGTCCGACGGCAGGCTCTTCAACCGCTCCAGCTCTTTGGTATGCTTCCTGACCAAGCCTGCTTTCTGCAGCTGAATGAGAGACTCCTGATGCTGCATCAAGTAACTGTTTGCACTTGACTTTTCCAAGTCTTTGCTGAACAACAAATACTTCAGATCCTTGGTAGGTTTGCTCTCTCTTCTGGCCAGAGAGTCCTCTTTTACCACTTCTACGTTAAGGAGGCTCTTGTCACAGTGTGAGTTTCTCCTGGGCAGCAGAGTTTTGACCGGGGTTTTTGGTGCGTCTTTTCCTTTTTCCAAAATGCTGCAGTGTTGATCAAGCGATTTGCAAGCGGCAGCCTCCAAAGCACCAGCTCCTGCCGACAGAGGAAGCGCAGCCTCGTTATTTTTAGTTCTGATTGCTTCCTCTGAGTGCACCTTGCTGGGCAGGTGGTCCACCAGGTTGGAATTGATGTGGGAGAGGAGGGCCGGCTGCGTGCAGATGGTGGTGGTGCTGCGACGTGCAGTGCCGGGGTTCAGCTTTTCGCACTGCTCCCCAAAGGAGTCAGGAGACAAACTAGCCGAGGAATACATGCAGTCAGCGCAAGACTGATAGGAAGGCTTGACCTTACTGAGGATCCCAAATACGGCATCATGCTGCAAAAAAGAAAACAGGAACAGATAAATGTGCACAGAACAAGACGTCAGCGATAAGCAGAGCAAGAGGCACAGACCACAAGATATTTTTTTACAGCCACGCAGATTTGAAATGAAGCCCCTTTCCACTTCTTTTAAGGCCCTGCAGCAGGAACAAAAGCCACGTATGTTCTCAGCAGAGAGTATCTTCAATGGAAGAATACCTACCGTTTCAAGCGACGGTCATGCAAGCAAGTTGCCCAAAGCAGTTTACAGGGCACTCACATGTGTGCGCTCTCTCTCTGGCATCTAAATCCATAGCTTGGGCAAGCAAAGCCATGTTCAGAAGCACTTCGAAAAGGAAGCAGCTCATCATGGAATGAAAGGCTTTATCCAAGTCAAATGAAACTGTGCTATGAAGATGAGAAGAGCAGTTTCACTTGCAGTAGAGTCAGCCATGCTAATCACCTACAGGTCAACTCCATACGCACCTCAAAATCCTCTGGGCAACTCCTTTTGCTGTTGTTGTTATTCAAGTTCTCTCTATTAAGCCTGCTCTCCTCCTTGTGCGTGGACAAACGCCGTTTCCACTTCTCCATCGGATTTTCCTCCCTGACACCGTCCTCCCCTGGGTCCCTGGGGCCCAGCACTATCCTTCCCTTCCTGGGGCTGAAGTTCAGTTTCTTCTTCACCTCTTTCTCACTGAAACTGCTCAGCTCCGCCAGCGGCTCTGCAGTCTCCAGGGCTTTTGCCGTCTCCAGCAGCCTCCCTTCCGACGGTGCAGACGGGGACTGTCCCACCAGCGAGGCAGCGCGCTCCGCAAGCGCATCCCGCTCCAGCTCCTCCACGTGGAAAAAGCCCTCCCTGTCACTGGGAATCTTGTTCTCCAGCAGCGTGTCCGAGAGGCGACGGAAGCAGTAATTGAACCCCACAGACACCTCTGTGCCAGCGCGGTTGTCCAGATACGCTGACTGCGAAGGCGTGTCCAGGTCAGCCAGGCGGTTTTCTAGGTCGATGTCTAAGCTCTCGAGTAAGAAGTCGCCCGACGCCGTGGTGCCGTCTGTGTTCTGGGGTAGGTTGCTCTCTGCCTGCTGCTTCCACAGCTTATTGTGGCGTTGCTTGCTGGGGGAAGGACAAAGACACCAGTGACTGCTGCTGAAACGCAGGATGCTCAGTTCAGGAACATTCGTCCCCTTCCACACCCTGGAACTGAAAGGCTGAACAGCAGGTCCAGCCTGGCAGTCTCACTTGGGCAAAACCACCTCTAATCAGGATTTTGTCCCTCCCGGCTGCCCGCTCCAGAGTCCCCATGGCCCCGACTCAGGGCAGAGCCCTGCACCGCACCCACGATGGGAACAGCCCATGGGCAGAGTCCCTCCGGGCAGAGGGGCACAGAGCCCTCCGTCAGAGCCGAACACTCCGAACCGACATCCCCGCACGTCTCATGGCACAGCACAGAGCGAAAAGTTTTCCTCCTCTTCCCCCAGTAGAGCAGAGGCCAAGCAGAGCATGCAGAAACCCTCAGTAGATACTACAGTGCTTGCAATGACAAAGACTTGTGATTGGCATGGTCACCCAGAACTGCAAACAATTTCTCTCCAACACTGCCTGAGCTCAGTTCTGCCTCATAAAACAAGAACAATGTTTTGCTGAACAGTACTGGCTGCCGAGAAACACGAACATGCTTCCCAAACGCAGAGAAACCCTCACTGAATTAAACCAGAGCAGATCTCCCTAGAAGACAGCTAATTTCCATCCAGGGAGGCCTGGCATGCAAAAGGTTTAGAAAAACACAATTAGCTCAGGCTTCTGCAGCTGCCCTGCTGCAGAGGACCCTTCAGAGCACAGCACCACGCACGCTCTGCCACCGACTTTAAGCACGACACGCGGGTGCGCGAGATGAACCTTGTTCGGCAGAAGAACCCATTGCCTGCACAGAACTTCTTGGAGATCGATTAATATTTTGTGATACAAAACCACGAGGTTGCCTACAATTAGCTCCTTTGTTTCCCGCAAGTCACCTTTCCGTTCATCCCGTCGCCTTACCTCGCATCTAAAATGCCTTCGTATTCCAAAAGCTGTCTCATGAAGCCTGCGTTTGGTCTTGCAATGCTGCGTTTTTGCTTCACATAATTATACGCCTTTTCCAGCGACCAGCCAAATTCCTTCATCGCATAAGCTATAACAGTGGACGCTGAGCGGCTCACACCCATTTTGCAGTGCACCAGGCACTTGGAGTGATTCTTCCTGCAGAAGGACAAACAGAAAAAAGCGTCTCATGTTTCTGGTTACGGTTACCTGGCGGAGGGACGGCACTTTGTCCCCCTGACCACCCTAACGCCATGGCTCAGTAGGTGAGAAATGTTTTGGATTAAGCGGGCCATGAGAAGAATCTCTCTCCAGAAAAATCAGGAGTTAGAGCTTCAGTCACGCTGCCATTTCAGAGACCCCCCTACGAAGCCTCCTGCCCGCCTGAGCCTTTGGATACAGGGATAAGCAGGAACAACCCGAGTGTCAAAGCCCAGCAGAGTCTGATGAGCTCTGTCACCACCTCTTGTCTGCAGACACAGCCGGGGCTAGCTCAGCACGCACACGTGCTGGAGTGTTTCCAGAACTTCTTGAGAAGAGGAAATGTCCTCATTTCCTTTTGGAAGCAAAACAAAATAATAATAATAAAAAAAACCACCATCGACTAGGAACAGGTTAATGTCAGCACAGGAAGAGACAAGGTACGGGGAAGTTCCAGGGACACAGAAAACTCCTGGTAACGGCAGCAGCACAACAGCCCCGTTGCCTCCTTCGGTGGTGGGGGGGCTTCAGGGAGGGCCCCGCTCCGTGCTGGATGAAACACGCAGGGCCCGGTGTCAGACCCCGCGGCTCAGACGTGCTCTCTCACACCACGTCGTGTCTCCCAGCCCACTTACTTGGCCTTATTTATAAAGTGGTACGCCTCGTTCCAGTGAGCCAGGAGGTCTGTCGTCTCCTCGTCATACACTCGGATATTGTGATAGGCGAACAAACCGGGGAAAAAATTATCAATTTCTCTTGTCACATTCAAAATGTAGTCAATGCTGTGGAGAACGAAAAGAGAAATCAACCGCCATGGGAAAGGGAACTGACACACGTTGTGAATTCCGCAAAACCTGACACAACACAAACTGTAAAGTTTTATCTACAGCCCTGATGCCGAAGCCCTGGGACACCCGGTGACGCGGGTCACGTTCGCGATGCACGGCGCCTGTCCATTCACCCATCTCTCACCACCAGCGCATCCCATCCAAAGCATCAAAAGACCTCAGGCACAGGCAGAAGTTTGTTTTACCCCATCTGCCGAGGGTAACCTAATCAGAAACTCCTCCGTGTGCCGCACACGGCTTCTGGGACGCTGAAAAGTGCGTCGGCTGCAGGGGCTTCATCTGGGCAAGAGCTGGGAACAAGAGCCCAGGAAGCACAATTTTCAACTGCAGGCTTTAGCTGCAAAACCATCCTTTGCTCTTCTTTCTGACCAAAACCATGAAATGAGAGTCACACGGTATCTCTCGATTCCTGCCAAATATTACAGCAAGAATTACAATATACCCGGGGAGAATGAATGCCTGTACTGACTTACTACCTCGTATCATTCAGACAAATCAAGGACACAGGATATTTGTTTCAGAATTTGTCCAGCTTAGAATTTTAGACAAGATGCCTTCCCCGCAGATCAAAAGTATGACGGCTGATTTACTTGTTCAAAGATGTTCAGACATCTGTTCCCAAGGACTCCAAATTAAACGTTTTTAGTCATGCTGTTGAGCAATATTTTTCAGTTTCTCACATCAGGGTCGGTGTATGCCTTGGGCAAGCAGCAAATATTTATATGCAAAATTCTCACTCGTCCAAAAAAGCGTGAAAGTACATCAAGCCAAGCGGTGATGAGAGTGTGGTGAAAGATGGTCCTGCAGCTGCCTGTCTGGGCAGGTGAGGTGGAGATTGCTCACCCACAGGATGTTCTGCTCCATTTAGAGTTTTTTTCCTAAGCTTAGCGCTGTAATATTTGCTCTTCTGCAGCCCGCAGGAATTCACACCTGACACAACAAGACGCATGGCCATTTCACGCTCAGCTGCTACACATTCGGGGGGTTTCGGGGATCTTGATGTACTTCACAAACGCGGAGTTTTGTTATTTCCGCTCTACATGTTATTGATGGAAACGAGGTAGGAAACATTTCTCGACCCAGGTCCTGACGGTAAGTTACCCACAACGCTGGGAATGGGCCCAAACTCATCCCTACAGCCTAAAACGTCAAATGTCGTCTCAAGAGACGGGAATGTAAGTTAAAGGCAAACGACTGGAGGTTTCAGAGAGTCTAAGGCTGGTGCTTGAAAGGTGCAGTACTCACCCCGAGCCCTGCAGCTCCTCGAGGTTGGAGGCATTCCACTCAGACCCCTGCAACAGCCAGAAAATACACATTTCAAAGGAGACTGAGACCCTCCCTCTTCCCTAAGGTTCTACAATCCCCCGGCCTCCCTGAAATATTGGCAATAGCCTCCAAAATAGGGATACGGCACCAGGGTGGCCAGCAGAGAGATGTCCTGTCCTGGACAGGCAGGGACCTCCTGAAGGAGGGGACAAGGGCACGACGTCCTCGCCTCGGGAGTTAGTTCTGGGCCAGCGTGTGACAGAGCTCACCCCAAATCACTGCCTCGGCCGCTCTGGAGTTTTAACCACAAATAGCGCGGGGAAACAAAATGATTACGTGTGGTATGACTGGGATCACGGGTACATGACAAGCGAGGCAAAGCCTGAAAGTTATGGGGGTGGTTACACCTTGAATCCCCTCCCATACTTGCAAACCAGAAAGCTAAAAAGGCTTTAAATAGCAGGTTTTGCCCTCAAACATGAGCACTTCCTCTGAATCTCTCCAGACAAAAAAAAAAAGACCCCAGTATAACGGGCACAACTGTGTTCATCTCAAGCAAGTCTTTGTTCCAGATGGCAGTGCCTGGTTTTGCTTGGAGTACCATCTAGTGGCAAAGGATCAGACGAGACACACGCCGTTCTTTTGCTTTTGCAGAAGCTGGAACAACCCATCGCCTCCAGCCTCATTCTTCACACTGTTCTGGCCGTGCCTCCAGAACCTCACAGGCTCAATCGAGAAAAACGCCACAGTGACCCTAATCAGACTCAAAGAGCAAACGGCCGTCACGCCGGGGCAGCGTCCACAGCCAGAACTTTTGTCTTTAAAGAAAAATCTCTGTTGCTAGAAATAGAAAATGAACGTGCATAGAAAGAACTTGAGCTATGCCATGGTATGTCCCGAAACAGGATCAACCTGCCAGGAAAGAACCATTACATCAAGTGCCAGAAACAAGAATGTAGCTAGAAAAAAGGGCCCCTCTGCTGCGGGCCTTTACAGGCAACGGAGGTCCTGGAGTGAGCCTGCACAAGGGGCAGGATAGCGGGCTGTGCCTCTTGCTCATGCTGCACAAGTCAGCCCTGACACCAAATCCCGCTTCCCCCGAGCCCGGCGACTGGTCAGCTCACTCCCACTGAGCCTCCTGCTATTCTGGAGCTCCTAACGTGGCAGCTTACCAGGTATAAATGATCGAAAATCAGGGATGGTTTGTCCATCTGACCCAGGATAAGCAGCATTTCATTGTCTATAAATTCCTTGAATTCTTTCAAGTTGCAATTCATGTGCTTCTCCAGCTCGTTTCGTATCTGCAGAGCAGAAAACAAAGGATGCCACCTAGAATCATGGCTGTTCAATAGAAACGTTTGTTGGCACTCCTCCGCAAAACACTTTTTCTGTCCTTCATTAAAAACAGCAAGAGAGATTCGACCTTTTGGAGACAAGGAACCTCACCACGTGGCATCTCTCCAAGCATCCTAGGCCCCCAGATTTAAGGTCTGTAAATAAAGCTTCAGACAACATCTGAGTACAAAAAGATATATTTTGGGGTATCTGCTTCTTAAAAATAACTCAAGAGAGAAAACCCAAGACGTTGGAGAGCAGCTAGCAAATAAATGCGAAAGTCATTAGAAGCAAGGAGTGACTAATGGCAGCAGCATTGTTGAAGAGAGGTTTCCAGTACTCTCCCATTTTAAAACGCCAGGATGCAGACTTCTCGCCGCACCTCAGCTTCAGGACGGTGCGATGCAAAGCAGCGCAACTTCGTTTAACCCACCATGGAAAAGGGTTACAGCAAAAATCAAAGCATCCTGACTGCACCCAGAGTTAAGAACACGTACACAGACAGATGAGTTCTCAGCTTAGGTCTACAACTTGCAACGCTGCTGTTACACGAGAGTGTATCCGAAGCCTTTGGTGCTAAGCTCTAGGAAGGAAAGCTCTGCACGTTAATAGCCTCCCTTGAAAAAGAAACAACACCCCAACCCAAAAAGAACTATTTCCATTTGCTCCGAGTATGTCTGCACTGCGGCTGGATGTATTTACACCAGCCTGAGGGATGGATCCAAACTAGCTTTAGCCTCCACTTGTGATTTTCCATCCATAAACTCACTAGCAAAATGTTGTCTGCAAGCCCCTCTGACGTTTGTTCAGGAGCTAAGAAAATAAAAAGAGCAGAGCCTTTAGGGAACAGCTGGAAATACAGACTCAAAAGCCAGTGACACCCAGTCATACGGTGTCTCTTCATCTGCGCAGCACTCTCTGGAAATGGAGGCTACCAGGAAGAATAAAATAGCAGAATTTTTGTATTTACCTCCTTAGAAGTCACATTTTCCAGGTCTTTGCTCATCATGATGCTCCGGAGTTTGGCTTTAATGAGCCGTTCTGTTCGTTCCCTTTCAGTTGGCCTGGAAATGAAGAGGAGAGGATGTCTCCAAGCTGGGAGCAAGCATATGGTGCAACTCATACTGTTCAGGGGAGTGGTGGTAAAGACTTGCATTAAAAGCAATTTTTATGAGAATAACAGAAGAAAAACATTTGAAGACATTTATGAAAAGAAATGAACCACTGGAGGAACAGAAGGGAGAAGGGGAGATTTCTCTCGTGAGCCAAGCCAACTTTTTCTAATAAAATTCAGAACTGACTTGTCAACAAAAAGGGCTGGAGAGTCGGGGCGGGTGGACTCCAGGTCCTGCATCGCATTCCACTCGTTGATGCAGCTCTGGTCGGAGCTGATGCAGCTTTCATAGTACGTGGCCCAGACCAAAGCCATCCCACCTGGGAAGTAGTTGTACCTTCTCGCAACTTCGCAGGCTTTATGGAGGATCTGTAACGCCGACCTGCAAGTTTGGAGAATAAATTCGCGCAGCTGTGAGAAGCGGGAACAGACAGAGCAGGATCCGAGAGGTTTTCAGAGAGAAAAAAAGATTTTTCAGCATGGTTTGTTGCAGTTTGCTTTGTGAGAGCAGCAGATTTGTTGCATCAAGAGTTCAGAGAGGGCACAAACTGCACCTTGGAGGCCTTCTCAGGAGCCGGTCCAAGGCAGAGGCTGAAATCTCCTCCTGACTAACAGGCAAGCACAAGGCACAAGTCGCTCTGGGACCTAATCATTAGCTAACTCGTAAAGCCAGACCAAAGGAAAATAAAGAACATGGACAATTTTCAAACCACCTTCAGCAAGGAGTCATACGCATATTTACCAGCATTCTTGGCCCCTGACATGCTCCAGGGACAAGGCCCAGATTGGGTCATTTGTTTTTGCAAATTCTAGCATTACTTTTTCCTTCCTTCCCTCCTCATTTTTTTCTTTTTTTAAGGCTCTACTCCGACGATGTCATTGTACTGAATACATTAACCACATCTAAGGTTGCCAACAGGAGGGGCCGAGTTCAAAAAATGACAGGAACAAGAGCTTCATTTGTTTCTGTACCAAATCATCGCTAGCACGACATCCTTCTCTACATCTGTATCTTCTCCCTACCAGATGCTGCAAGGACAGGGATCTCCTGAGGCTCCGGCGGGAGCCAGCAAACTGCCCAGGCCAAGGGAGATGCTTTTGTTCTGTGCGGGGCTGGGCAGCAGCCTCTTCAAGGAGGAATTTGCTGGCACCGCTGCTGCTGATTCAGCCACCTCTGCTTCAGCGTTTTGGAATCCCTGCACACGGGAGGGGTGACAGGAGCTGAAAGGTGAACGGGCACCCGGGGCAGCACGGCAAGTTTCCGCGCGGCAGGAACCCCAGTAATGAGGCAGAGCACGGGGAATGCCATCAGATTGGCAATGGGTTCCGAGCCTCCTCCTTCAGCCAGTTCAAAAAATATGCAGAGAGGAAAGGCTGGGTTTGCAGCCTGATGAATTCAAGTGGGTCCTTCACCTTTATTCACCTCAGTAGCGCCATTTCCCTTTGATATAAGGGAGCGTGGCTGCTCTGAGCAGAAGCAGATCCTGGTTTCGGATCAATATTCTTATAGTTCCTTTACAGTACCACTACCTGCTGACACAGGGAAGCAGCATCTCTGCTGCAGCTAAGTACCAATTATGGAGAATGCAAAAATGCAGGGGTTTTTCATTTGTTTTTAATTTATTCACAGAAATGACAGTCTCTTTCTCGGTAAAGCTAATTAACAGACATACCACATGGCTTGCACCGACACTGGCTTGAAGATGTGCATTCTCCCTGCAGTGCTCACACTGAAGCCACTAAAGAGAGGGAGGAAAAAAAAAAAAACAACAAACCCAAACAGTCAGAAACTGCTCTTCTCTGCATCACAAGCTGCACTCTACAAACAGCTACTGGGGGCACTCACAGTCAAAAAGAATCAGGGTGAGAATTTGCATCACTGATTTTCCAACATCCTCCCAAAGAAGAATGGGAAGCAGACACCCTTCCCAGCATAGGCTGCCAGGAACGGGAGTTCCACCCCTCAAGTGGGATTTCAGAGAACATTCACTGGGTGCCACAGGTTCCACCGATTAGTCTGAGGGCAGCAAGACAAAAACTCACTGTCCGAGTAAGAGGACTGCAGCCACGAATCCAAAATTGGAACTTCATTTGCAAGGTGACGGGGAATGTCTCCTAGAGCAGCCCCCAGTAGGGAAGGACATTCACATTCATCCTTTTAATGTGGTTTCTTACCCATCGCCATCAAGATGGATTTTAGTATCGCTCCACAGACGAAGAACCATTCCTATAGTGCAGCTTTTACTGGAAGAGAAATTGTTATACAGGATGTTAAATATAGGCCACAATGTGGTCACGCCGATACCCTAAATTATTAATACTCTTTAATTTTTAAAATCCTCAAGTCTTGCTCTAGTAATTCCTAGTAATATCTTGGGCCATCAAATACGTAACACACAAGGAGACCGGCAGCTGAAATCTGAAGGTCTGCTCTGATATGAGCACACTGATTGTTCCTCCACGGGGCTGGGGAACCATCACGGCACGACTCCAAATCACCGGCTCTTCTCACCCCCTCCAGAGCCTGCCAGACAGCTCCGCAGTATTTGCCCCATCATCTTTCCTGCTCTCACACCCCAGAAGCTCAGAGCAAGGCAGCTCCCTAACAGGACATAAGAGCAGATCACAGCGATGCGGCCGCAGAAATTCGGCTCGCTAATGTGGGGCAGAAAGCAAGCCTTGGTAGGTGGCGGAGCAGCCGCCGGCCCTTTCCAAAGAGGACCCGAGGGGCTCTGCAAAGGACTGCACGTTCGATTGTCACTTCATCGCTCCGGCTGGTAGAAAAGACAAAACCAGATTTTATGAGTTTACCTAACCCAAACGAACACTTTCCAAGATGCAATCTGGCAAGAAAACCGTATTATAATGGGGTCAGTAACTTTCAACTAGTAAATAATTAAGCTACTGAGATATTAAACTTTTAAAGAAAATTGGGATGCATACAGCAGCCAGTTAGCAAAGAACTTGGGTTTTGTTTTGTTCTTTTCCTTTCTTTTTTTAAGCTTTCAGCCGCTTTCTACAGCGGATCAAAGGATGTGACAGGCCGATTTGAACACATATGTGGACAATGCGCACTTTAGAGCTTTGTGAGAAAAAAATGGTTTTTTATTAAACACATGTAAGAGGAGTAAAACCCACAAGAGTGCCCGACTAGTAAAACTGTAAGCAGTCAGAACACTTACAGCTCAGCTCTGACATTTCAGCCCCAACACAGAGCCATGGAATGAAGTCACTAATGGCAACTGACTTTATGCATGAGACTACACTTAATTAACAAAAACTTTGGCTTTCAGGGGAGACAGTAACTGAAATGGCAGCTAACCTTACAGTTAGGATGGATTTGTGATAATTTTTCCATCTTTCCTCTTGTCTCATCAACAATCACCAGGAACAAATTATTGCAGGGCTGTTTCAGATTTGAAGATGACACAGCAAACATTCACTGCTGTTGCACACTAAGTGTGCCGTAAGCAAATGCTACGTTAGAATTTCTTCTGTAACACTACCAGCAGTAATTTAACAGCAGATACAAGAGGCCAATGACAATAATCTCATTAGCAAGGCACGGCTAGGAGTTTCCCCGACAGGTCTCACTGCAGTGCAAAAGCTCCATCCTTCCACTTACAGCAATGGAAACAACCGCTAAGGTTTTCCAAAAAGAAAACAAAAGTCCCACTGGCTGCACCAGCACAACATGGCAGCCTGCTAAATCCCAGGAGAACAGAAATAACAGTCTGGAAGCTCTGACTTCTAACTCCAGCTCTGCCAAACCAGCCCTGTCTCTCTGAGCCAAGAGCTTTTCTGCCTTGGTTTGCTCACCTCGAACTGGAATAGTGTGAGAGGGTCTGCGATAACAAAATATTTTATTTGCCTTTCGAAGTATTATGTGCTCTTATCAGTTAGACAAAAGAAAGCTCATTACTGACACATTTGTTTGTTGGTTTTGGAGGTCCTTCTGCAGTTTTGTTTTTTAATGTTATTTGGCAACTAAGCTACCCCCCCCAAAACCAGCTCCATTGCATCATACCATCAACAGACTTGAAGTCTGGTGGATAGAGTAAGTTCCAGCGTTGCAAATGTGTCTGCAAGAGCATTTCATACTGAGCAGACAGCAAACTACCACAGACAAGGTAGATGCCTCAGCCCTACAGATGGATCACACGTGAACACTGCCTACAGCTGCCCAGAGATCCCAAGGAGACCAAAAGCTTTCTGAAACAAAAAACACCCTCTCACCCTCATAACTGGGCAGAAAACTCAACGCATGTCCGTTCTCTTGCTAGAATTTGCAGACACATGAAAACCAACCGCGCAGGGACAGTTTGGTGTTGACAGGCGTTCCAGAGAACCCAGCCTGCCTGATTTCCAAGCCCAGCCTTGCCTTAGACATACCTCTCCTTGCTGGAGAAATCCACACCCAGCAGAATATTCTCTTCTGTGTCTTGTCGTCCGCTGCTGTATACAACCACCATGTACCGGACTCTGTCTGTCCACACACTTTCCAAACGGACAGCCTAGAAAAAGGTCATCAAGCTCTGCAAACCAGTTGTTGGACAATCATTCCTTCCATTGCTGCCTAATATTTTTTTTCAGGTGTAATTGTGTCCAAAAGCTTTATTTAGCTGTAGTATGAAAGACACAGGGAGAGACAGTTCATCTTCCAGCAAGGCTAGTTGCCAGTTTGACTTGGCATCGAGCAGGGAGAAGAAGAGTGATTAGCCTAGATTACCTGCTCCAGTTTGGAGAAATACTACAGAATGCAACCTGAAGATTTGTTCCAAAGAGGTTCAGCTAGAAAGTTGGTAAAAATATTGGTCATGCACTGAACTGAAAACAGAGGCAGGCTCAGAGGATTCTTCCACTCACAAGTCGTCACTGAAAAACATCAGTCATGCTGGAGGGGATAACTGACATCGACTTTTCTGCAATGACTTTTATAGCCTCTGCAGAATTCTTTAACAGAAAGTCCAGCCCCACTTGGGTCCAGTTTCAAGACTGACTTAAGAATGTCCACTAGCAAGCTCCGGGCTCCTGTATATGTGTTTGTCGGCTGACTGGAAAATTAAACTTAACAAACGCATTTTGGACAGATCAGTTTCCTGACACAACTCGTTACCCGGACATGAGGACCAGGGCAAAAGGAGCGGACAGGAAAACACGGTAGGGCTGGCAACCAGCAGCAGTAAGCTGACTCTGAACCCGGGATTTACCGATGCTTGTCGTGAACCTCTACAGGTCTGTTTCAAAGGCCTCCAACAGAAAGGAGGGCAGGAAAACACATCTCTTCTTACCAGTTTGATCCTATCCTCGCAGCGAAGGAGGTTGATCATCACCTGGAGGTGCTGGGGCAAATCACCTGCAGGGAGAGTGGAAAAATAAGAAAGGGTCTCTCGCTGCACTAAGAATGGGCGGAGTCTTGACCTTTAATGAAACTAGATGTTTTTAAGTCAAAAAATACCATTAAAGGGAGGCCAACTTTGCTGTCCCAGAAAATACTAACAGAAGTGAGCTTCTTGGGTCTGGCTGTATGAGAACTCAACCTTATAGCATTTGGAAGCTACCAAATATATTGAGACCATCTGCGACTGGCACAAATGATGATACTCCTCCTGTTACAGCATCTTAGAGAAGACAAAGATATGGGCACTGAGGACAGGGGAGGAAGAGGCAGGAGGAACGACTCGGGTTAAGAAAAAAAGGAAACAAAGACAAAAAGAAAAACTTTGACCTGTGAACCACACACAGCATGGTGGGATGAGCCCCACTGGCCTTACGGGGGATATATCTGAGCACGAGAAACTTCTGAGGAGGAAGGGCTGCAGGAGTGGCCCGGTTTGGGAGATGGAGCCCTTTATCTCAAACAAAGTGCTGCTCAGGCAGCAAGCTCTTGGGCTCTGGAGCAGTGGGTACATTTCTGTTTGGCGAAAGCAAGTGAAAGGAACAACAAATTGTCAAGAAAACAAGTTCACATCTACTAACTCATAAAGCACTCATAACTTTCCATACGAGATAAAATTCCTTCCGTAGGATGTTTGCTGGGTATATGAAATTGCTGACAATTAAAGAAACCCAAAGCCAAGCCTGGCATTCAAACACCCTCTTTGTGCTTGGAGTGTTTACTAAGCAGCAGACACACAGTACCACACTGTGCCTTTCCCACATGCTCCTGCTCTCAAAACGCCCCAATGATCTTATTTCTTCTTTCCCTGTAATCACTTATTCCAAAACTGTCAAAGACAGAAGGCATAACAACACTGGGTCAGAAGAATTCACTTTCCTGAACCCCACATCTGCTTATCAATCTGTATGTACCTTCACCAAACTATTCCCTACCACTTCTTCCCACCAGCCTGGCACACTGGAGGGGACTGGGGGAGGAAGGACAGTCTGTTCTTAAACCATGATAAACTCTTACAGGCCAGGTTTTGATGAGTTCACTGAAAAGGGGATATAAGGAGCTAAGAAATGTACGTCTATCTAGAGACCCAAAACCTGTTAAAACGTTCCTCACTCTTAGTGGCAGCATCAAACAAATCCAGCCACAGGTAGTTTCAAAGGAACAAATGCTGTCAGCTGGCACCAAAAGTCCCAAACCGCAGATTACCAGAGGCTGGACGAGCACTCGGAGAAGTGTCCCTGCCATGCTAAATCAGGACCTCGATAACTCAAAAGAGGTGCTACAGCCCTGTGACTCAGTCCATCCAATTTTCCTCCCCACAGGCCAAAGGGGAAGGCAAAGATCGAATCACTGAAGCACAAGTGACATTTCTTCATCGGTGGAAAACAGGGATATTTTGCACAGATTCCCTGGCTCCGCAGGCTTCCCTGCCTAGAGAATGCCAAGTTGAATGCCATAATGCCAAAAAATAAATTTCTATTCTGGTTTCAGTTCCAAGACAATGCTAAAAGTTTAAACAAAGACTCAATAATCGTGTGTTACCGTTCCAATCAAGCGGGCTGAAACCTCGGGTTTACTCAGCGGGTTGTACAAGACCCACCGTGACAACGAGGAGTCGTGCACCCACCCACGCGTGCTATTAGCCTGTCTGCAGGGAGGGAGGAGCAGCAAGGCGAGAGGGAAAAGGAATTTCAGTCAGTGATTTAATCCACTACCTGCATGTTTGTGAGGATGCTGGAGACTTCGCTGGCCCTGGGAGCTGTTTCCTTGTTGCAAGAAAAGGGCTGCGCCTTTCACCATGAAAAAGCTCTCGCTTAGGCTGGAAAACAAATGACAGAGGAAGTCAACTGAAAGGAAATATCAGCAAAATGCGTGCTCAGGTCTGTACGCCCAGGGAAGGAAGGGCTTCTCCTCACTAAAATGTGGCAGGATTTTGCCATGAGGAGCTGTTCCCAAAGTCTGACCCTGCCTCTTGCACGGTATGGCTCCAGGATTATCCACGGATTATTCATACGGCATTTGCCACCAACGTTTTATTACTTGGCCATTGCAGCAGATACTTGCCTGAGCTGTCATGGGCTGGAAATTACTTTATCGTTTGATTATCAAATTCTGCAACGTAAGAACAGTAGAGGGTAAGACTTTGCACAGGCTTAGACCTGTAAAATGACTTAACATCAGGTTCTGAGTCAATCTGTTCCTACTCATTTCACTTTCTGAGATTTCTTTGGAATGCAAAACCAAGCACATGCAACCATAAATTGTCTGTAGATTTACAGAGGAAGGGAGGGCAGATAAAACCTGCACATCAGAAGAGAAAGGAAGCTGCACCGAAACCTCAGGGGAAAAGCGACCGACACAATAGCGAAGACTTTGCTTTGCTCTGGCCAGATGCAGCCACCCTGGAAAACACTACTGATAAGAAAGCGGGTCGCAGTACGTGCAAACTCATAACGGTGTTTCCACAGAGTCGGATGACCCACAGGCCCCAGAACATAACTAAAGAGAAGGCTGAACAAAACCAGCAGTTACAGTAAGCACCAGCACTAATTACATAGTACCATCCTGCGCTGCCGAGCGTTTTAGAAATAGGCTCGGACGTAAGCGGTAAAGTTAGCATTTCCCACAAGTCTGAAAATCAACATCTACTAAGCTACCTTTTAGTTGCCACAGTAACTGCTTACACTGCATTTCCTACACCGCTCAAACCATCACAAGAGACATTCCTCCTTACAAAGCCCAATTTTCTGCCGCCCTACACTTCCAAACATAGATCATCATTAATTACTGTCTGCTATCTACTGAATATAAATGCTCCATTACAAGACTGTGCTACATGGGAGTTACTTACGCTACAGAAAATGATCCCACAGGAGTTACTACTCCCAGCGCTCGTCTATTCTGTGCTTTATCCGGGGTCTTTGCCTTTGGGCAGAAGTAAGCACTAATGCTCCATTCTACCTCAGTATTTTTGAGAAGACAGACATGAATTTCGTGTCTTTTCAGCTTTTGCTGCAAGTTCAGCTTTTCCCTTCTCCGAGAACACGGCCAAGCTTCCCAGGCAATGCTTCCTCATTTTTCAACTCAATCTCCAAGGTACAAAATTCCCAGAAAAATCTGGATCAGGTTTAAATTTGAGATTTCAGCTGCTTTTCAAAAGTGAACTAAAATTTTCACCTAAGTTCCAGGCTCTGCAAGTCATATATCAGATCAATAAAATGCCAGCGGGACAACTGTGCTCTAATTAAAACAAGCTTTTCTCCATTCACGCTCCCACAGCGTTCTAGCACTCACCACTCACTCCGCTACCACGCTGAGTTTCCTCGTGATCCGAACCATCGGCTCTGCTCTGCCTGGCACACACACCAACAGCAAGGATTTCTGCAAACGGGAATCTGGTTCATGCCCTAAGTGAGCCAGGAAGAGTCTTGTTTCCTTCTCACACCAGATCTCACAGGAAAGTGTTAAAAAAAGGCCAGAAGTTACACAAAAGCAGCGACACAACGTATGGGATGTTCAGCTAGATAACGGCTTCAGGCACATTCATCTGGTTTTTTTCAGCAAGAGGATGGAAATGGTTGGATAACACACAAAGAAATAATTCACAGTATTCCTGTCTCAAGAATTTTGGGAAATATTTCTTTGGGAAAGCGACAAAATATCCCAAAGGATATTCTTTTATCCCAAATAAAGCACTGACTGGATTTTCTACAGCAGGAACATGGAAGAGAGAGATCTCCTTCCCAAAGGCATCAGCAACTCCTGCTCTGACTGTTTGTCTTGCTTGATGTTCTCCTCTCCTGCAGTCAGGAAATCTTTCACAACAAAGCAGAATATTCCCAGTTGCAGGCAAATGAGAAAGCTGCACCGCAGGAGCAGAAAGCGATGGCAGGAAAAGGACAACTCACATCGCAAAATTTTTGTCATCGAGTTTTCATCTGCATAGAAATGAATCGGAAAGCAAAGCCAAAGAACCTGTTGAGAGCAAGATTTTTTTTTTTTTTTAAGTGTTTGTTTGCTAAACTGCGCACTACCCTTACAAAGCGCAGTTTGCCGTGACTCCGACCGCCCGTGCCCCCCGATTTCCACAAGCTCCCATTTCCACACGACCAGCATGGTGCCGCGCAGAGGGAACGCACCCAAGCCCCTCTTTGCAAACGCTCCCATTTCACACCACACTGCAACAACATTACCCGACACCGGCCCTTATCTCCGCTCCAGGAACACTCTCTGCTCTCAGTCACTTCATACAACTGCTCTAAAAGACAGCTAACAAGATAAAAGTGTGAAAAAGGCAAGGCACGATATTCCAACCCAGTGTTCAAAAACCCTTTTAAATCCTGCCGTTCCAGTAAACAACAAACTCCAGCCTTTAAAAAAAAAAAAAAATCTCCTAAAGAACAGCAAATATCCTATCATTAAAGAACATCCCCAAACTTTTGACCCTCGGCAGCAATGATAAATGCCCTAGCAAGCAGCATTTGTTAGCAGCATAAAAACGAGTGGCTTATACATACTAATTTGGACTGGTTTTCTTTGAACAGCAGAAGCATTGTGCTGGCCCAAGAGTCAGACAGAAGTCAGTAAATTCGAAAAGATTCATAACTAGCTGTAAAACTCACATCCTTTTGCTTCTAAACCCATAAAAAAAAAAAAGAAAAGAAGGAAAAGAAAAGGTTGACCGTATATTCTGTGCGGAGCAGAGAAATCGCGTCTGTTGATGCTACCCAGGAACTGGATGACTTTTACAGAACACTGTGTCTTCCACTGATATCCTGGCTTGAAAAAGCACTTGTCCTAACATATCCTGATGAAAGAGGGCCATTCAAGAGGGGAAAAAACCAGCTGAGGCTCGTCTAATCATTTCCCTCCTCCAGACTTGTTTGTTTGTTTGCTTCCTCCAGCAGGCTCTGAAGGCCACGCAGCCCATCAGCAGCCCCTCGCCGCAGAAAGTCCGTATTTCCCAGGACAGGACTAGATAAAAAGCATCGTATTGACTAACGCCTGTTTGTTTCTGTATGATTAAAACACTATAATATAGATTTGGCAAAGGCACTAGCTGTCATATTAAAATGCTTCTTCACTTTACTTACCACGGTTTGATTTTCAGAGTGACTCCTGAGTTCCTACTGAACAAGAAAGTCTTTCAGGTGCCTTGGTATTTATATGTTAGTGGCTGGCTATCATCAAATTCACTGGAGACTTGTTTCTTACAGACCCCTGACTAATAAACCTTAACCACACGCTCCCGTCGCACCAGTACCGCTAATCAGGGGGAGAAGCAGCTTTCTGTGCGGTTGGTACCCGGCTGGGCTGGCATGCCCACCAGAAACCACCCATTCCCTGGATGCCCTTCCAGGAATCCTGACCAGCACAGCTACTTCACTGGAGTTACTTCAGGCTCATCAAATAAATGCAGAGCCCACAGGTTTTGTCACAGCCCCGGGACCCTGGTGCTGCCCTGTGCTCCAGTACGGCTGCAGACCGGTCCCCTTTCCATTCCATAACCTCAGCTTACCAAACTAATGGTGTTAACCCCCTAAGGGAGGTAAAAACGGATGCTTACAAGCATCTGGGAAATGCCCAGGGTGTCGGTGGGAGGGTGCACCCAGCTATGGTGCTTTGCTGTAAAGCAGGAGTCCTTCTGCACCCCGAAGCGGCAAGGAGAGAGTGCTGAACGACCACAGCATCACTGACAGCGGGCTCCAGCGTCTCCTGCCTCGCTGTCCCTTGCTCCATCCGTTGGCTCCGCGCTGCTCAACTTGAAAAGGAAATATTTCTTCCCCTTTGGGAAAGCTCCAGAAGAGCATGGCTGCAAGACACATCAATTACATTTCGAGTTGCTTAAGAACACAATAGGCAGTGCTTTTTAATCGTGACAAAACGCCGCCCCCAGGGTTCGCAAATAATGCCAACAAGCAGTCGGTTAAAAATACTGGGTTTCGGAACAAGAGACAGAGCTGCTCGTGTTACTGGACAGAGCTGGAAGGCAGCTGCCGGGCGCAGAACAATCTTTCTTAAGCAGTTTGCTTTGCCATTGCAGCTTCGGCGGTGGCGTGTCCCGGGAACAAACCTGGTATGCCTTGGGTGTTCAAATTCCCCGTTTTAATGGGAAATCTCACGTAAGACGTCATCATCTTGCAGGATACAAGAAAATACTCTATGAATGTATCTTATAGCTATGTAGCTCATCTCATGTCAAAATAAACATCCGTACCCAGAAGTTAGTAGAGACACCACCACTTTCTCTGGGAAGACACAGCCAAGCCTGGGGTTGATTCAGCAGTCTCTGACTGGCCTAAGAATTAAAAACTGGGATCTAGCTAAAAGAGGCGGAACGCAGAAACATCCGAGTTTGCATCTGCCTGGGTATCTCTGCTGCTCCCAGAATGGCCGCAGGATTGCTCGGTGCACGGGATGCCCAAGGCTCTGGCTGCTCTCACATCTGCCATGACCCCAGGTATTCCCGGAGCTGTCATGAACTCATCATCTTTGTGTTTGCTGCTGCTCACAGCCGAGAAGCCCATTTAACGCAAGCGCCGTTCAGATCTCCTTGCTTACAGCTCTACTCTTAGAGCATATTTTAGCGCTGAGTTCATGCAATGAACAAGAGCAGACTTCCACTCCGCCTGGTTTTGCTCTGCGTTTTCCTCGGGGATATGGACAGTCCCATACTCGGGCCAGACACATTATTCCAGATGTCCTTTCAAGATATCTGCTCCCACCTGAAGCTTTCTCTGTTTCCCTTTAACCTTTTGTCTTGAGCAACTCCCACGTTGTTGACCTGTCGTGTGCTTGTGCAGCTCAGGCGCAGAGCTCCATGTCCCAGAAAAGCTCTGCAACGAGCCTTGCCCAGGCACGGGGCCACACCATCATGCTCTCCGGGCACTAAATCTCTGACAAAATTAAGTTTCTTAATTTCCCCCTCATTAATGGAACAAAACGTACATGTGATGTGGGGGCAGAGAAGGCCATCTATCCATCAGGGCTGAGCCAGAGCACTCAGCTGACAGCAGATTCCCCAGACAGCAGGGCTGGAGCAGGATCACCCCCTCATCCGGACATCCATCCGTGCCGTGGTTAGGAGCAGGCACACTGGTCCTGCCCTTCCTACCCAGAGCACGCAGACCACTCCCCGTGTGCCGAGGAGCTGCCCTCCTGCAACAAGATCTCTGTTTTAGACAACAAAAAAAAAAAAAGGAATTCACATCTCAAAATTGGTTGCAAGTTTACAAAGTCATCAACATGGTACTGCCAATCACTTCCTTGGGTTTTATGGCATCTTCTGCTCAAAATGTTTCCAAACTGATAAGGTGAGGAAAAAACAGCCTCCCAAGCTCTGCAAAATTAGACACCCTTCCCTTTCCCACAGCCCCTTTGATAAGGGGGAACAGAACTGATTTTTTATTCCCCCCCCCCCTTTTCTTCCCCCCTATTTTCTGCTCAGTCTGGAAAACCCCAGCCATCTCAAGGCAATTGAAGCAAGAACATGAAGCATAGCCCTGGAGATGGGCCTCTCCGCGCACCTCCCCGCCGCGGTGCTGCAGCCCGGGGACCAAACCAGTCCCCTCGGATGGTCCGCAGCCCGGCCGGGCCCTCGCCGGGCCAGAGGGTGGATTTTAAGACAGGGCACACGCTGCAGCGAGCCAGAGGGTAGTCACGCAGTCATACCAAAATAGCAACATAAACTAAACTGGAACTGAGCACATTGGGCCTCTCCGCGCACCTCCCCGCCGCGGTGCTGCAGCCCGGGGACCAAACCAGTCCCCTCGGATGCTCCGCAGCCCGGCCGGGCCCTCGCCGGGCCAGAGGGTGGATTTTAAGACAGGGCACACGCTGCAGCGAGCCAGAGGGTAGTCACGCAGTCATACCAAAATAGCAACATAAACTAAACTGGAACTGAGCACATCAAATAGAAAGGAAGATGCGGGGAGAGAAAAAGCAGGAAGGCAAGGGAGCAGCTGCACGGCCCCTGCTGCCCAAGCCAAGCCGGCAATTAAAGCACACTGACTGCTTGCTTTGGCTTGATAGGAGGCACATCAGATAACGCTTCCTGACCAAGAAAGGGGCCTTCAGAAGGGGTCTGAGCGACACAAAACAGCGCCAGGGAAAAAATGAACTTCAAAGCTACTTGCTCACATGCTAGTGTATAACCTGAGAAACAGAAATGGGAGCCTTCAACGGCAGCAGCAGGTCATTTCTCATGCTTTTAAAAAAAGGCACTTTGTGTGTTTCCAAGTGGCCTTTGCTCTGTGTCACACACCAGTCACACAGAGTCCAGTGCCACGGAAACATTAAATGAAACATAAAGGAATCACCTTTACAAATACAGGTGAGAGTATCGCCCTGACCATCCCTGCTTAACTCAACACGGATCTGGCTGCCGTGCAGAGGGGCGAGCAGGCTGCTCCCATGCAGCGGGACCAGGACAGGCCCAGTTTCAACACGTGCAATGCCAATTTAAACCACAGTGCTGTTGCATACACACGTAGACTTCGTGATATGCTGATAACCGACCTGTGATCCGAACTGCAGGTGCCCAACACACCTGCTAACGTCAGCGAGAGCTGCCAGCATCGCTTGGATTGCGGTGCTCTACCTCTGGCGAAGTCTCTGTGACGCATCTCGAGAGGTGGCAGCTACCTTCAGGACAACTTTTGGAAATGTTTGTCTTCTGAAATACTATTTTATTACCAAAAACATGAGTCAGGAAAGCTCTTTCCATACCCACGGTTATGCTAGGCTGCGGCTTTGATGGGCTATAAAAAGTCATCATTCTCAGATTTCCCGAGCTGAAGCCAAGTCACCCCAAGAAGAAACCCAAAACATAAGTTGCAATGGTCTGACGTTCCTTCAGACACACGGAGAACATCTCCCCTTCCTCAGATGCAGCCAGGGCACCATCATGCAATGGCAAAAAGCTGCCTGCAAGGGGCCAGGCAGCAGCCCCTGCCGAGGGGCGTCTTGTAACGCCTCTCCGCAGGGGCAAACATCTCCCCATCTATTTCAAAGTAGACCGAGACGGTCAGGCAGGCAGGAAGACCCGGCAGGCTTCACTCTCATGTTTTTAGCGGCGCGGCAACAAAAGGGGAGTCAGAGCACGTATTGTTCGGCTGAAAGGCGTGGGCCACGTCCACAGCGCAAGAATGCTAAGAAGGGCTTGAGACACTGCAGGCCATTCACAGCGCCAGATACAAACGCTCCTCGAGCACAAAGAGGAAAAAGAAAAAAATGAAATCAATCATGAAGCCCACAAAAGCTAATTTCCTAACATAAATAGACTGCTGATGATGTGCCTCCAGCCGCTCCTGCGTACCGGGCGAGCGATGCATCGGGCTTGGGCAGCGATCGCCCCAGCCTTGGAGCCGAACCGGGTGAGCCACACGTACCCCGCGCCGGGACGGCGCACAGCTCCGAGGGCAGAGCATGACCTGGGCTGTGCCCGCAGGAGCAGCTCGAATAAATCATCCAAGAGAAAGGGCAGGAAGAGGGAAGCAAACAAATTAACGGGACTGCTCCCTGTTCCAGCAGACTTGTGCAAAATAAGTTAGCAGAACAGCTCCCAAACGGCCAGGAAAGAGAAAATTCTAGGAATCCCTAGTACTTGGATGGTGAAAAGCCAAGTAAAATAAGAGATTGTTTCACAAGGAAAAAGAAATCCTTTTTGCTCATCCCATTAATCGCAGAGTTCAAAAAGGCACGAGGTTGATCACAGCATCACCCAGCTATGCGACGCGCTTGGAACTAACGGTCTGAATTGCAATGAGCATTTCCGAGATTCCCACCAAAACATGATGTCATTTTTGTGATAGCCACTGTCTCAGGAGGCCGGGGCCAGATCCTCCCCAAACTTCAGCCTGCACGACCGCCCATTCAACTGCTATAAAGAAACCTTTCTCTCACTCTTAGGAGAGAAGCATTAACCCTACAGAGACCCCCAGCGAGTGCCTGGGGACTGACCCAGCCCGCTGCGGCAGCCCCACGGCCACCCGCCCTGCAGCGAGGGCTCAGCAATGCTTCTCCACGCAGCTGCACGGAGCGGCTCACACTTGCCGAGACCCGTGGACTCAAAGGGAAGGTGGCAGTCGGCACGGGGAAGCACGAGAGGGGTATACAGAGGTCCCAGTGTTAGGAACAGCATGGTTTTACAGCCTAGTGCACCCTCTGCCATGCAGCATCCTGGTGGTCTGAGGGAAGCCGGCTGTTCCCAGAACACTGGCTCCCTTCTTCCCCCACACTAAAAGCCCCAAAAGACACCCTGTGTTTTCCTACGAGTCACTTTTTTGGACGTTGTTATTGCCATAGCTGTTCCGTGACGGCAGGTAGGGAGGAGGACAGACCACAAGCCCGGGAGTGCCGGGGAGGTGTCTCGGAGCCGTGGTCCGCGCCAAAGGAGAGGTGGGACGCTGCCGGCCCCCAGGCTCCTGCTGTGGAGGGCACATCAAAGGCAGAGCCTCCCGCCCACGCTCCCGGGCAGGAGCCGGTCCCGCTCCCGTCCTCCTCCCCAGCCGAGCTGTCGGCACATCGGCCGATCCTCCTGCATTCCTCCCGTCAACTCATTGTTTTAATCCTTTAAAGTATTTTATTGAGTCACCCCACTTCACCCACTCTGTGATGGGAGACAGGCCAGAGAAACAAGTGGAAACTCTCCAATGGCACCACTGGAAAAGAAAAAGGAAGGTGAATAATAGTTTCAAGGATTAAGAAAGCAGCTTCCAAGCGGCGTGCGCGAAGGTCAGCCAGGACACAGACAACAGCGTAGGAAACGCGACTTGAGAACCCTACAGGCAGCGGTAGCACAGCAACCCAAAAAATAGCTTAGCTGCTGGGTTTCAGAATGACTCCAAAAAAGGCAGCAGAGACCAGGGAGTACTTGACACATTGGTAATGCGTAAAAATAAAATAAAATAAATCTAGACGGATCACGCAGGGTAAAAGCAGAGCAAGAAAGTTCTAGCTCAACCCTGACACCCCCTCTAGTGTTTAGCAGGACCGCAGCTTGCCTTCCCAGTTGCCCCAAGGGTTTGCAGCCAGCACCCCATGGTGAAGAGGTGCACCCCGTGAATTAGAAGACTGCCAGCCAGGGGCAAAGCTGCCTCAAGATGGAAAAGTGTTGGTAAAAACCTCAGGTCATCCTTCTTTTCCCCTTCCACTCCAAACCCATCTTTTACAAGCAGATTCGGTGTTGCAGAGAGAAGCAGACATCTGTAGTCCAAGAAGTTTTGGAGGGCTGGCAGGGAGATGCCTACACGCAGGCATGCTGCAAGGAGACCCACAGGCAGCGGTCTCCGCCAGGATGCGAGTGTTGGACGTGACCGTTTGGACGGCAGACAGGGCAAACAAGCAACCCAGCAGCTTTCTGGAAAAATCTGAAAGGGACATTTTGTCCCGTTCCCCACGTTTCTGGATGCCTTGGCCCCCGATGCTAAGCCCCAGAGGTTTTCTGCCCAGCGGTCAGGAGCACACCGCCACAGATCCCCCGGCAGCTGCCTTCACTAGTGATTCTTGCAGCAAGGATTTCTTCAAGAAACATAGGTGAGGTGGTGCGGTTTTGGAAGGTTTCTGAGTTTGGCAAGTCCCTCTGGATGGGGTCTCTGTGCGAGTGAAATGAGCGTCAGGCAGAGACTCTGGCTCCTGCCGCAAACCTTACGTCAGTACCGGGACTTTGGGGAGAGCTTGGTGCAACAGGCAACACTATGACACACCAACGGCGAGGACCAGCCGAGGTGGGTACGAACACAGAGCACACCGGCTGCTCCGCAGGCGCGGTTTGCCTTCCCGCCCCCCTCCCCG